CCGTGGGTTCTTCAAATATCATGTTTAAGGCCATCTTAGTCTGGCTGCTTTCATTGTTGAGCCTGGCAAACAGATAAGCATTTTTCATGCAGTACTCGCGGGACTTGAACCAGCTCATTTCATCTTCACCAAGTACAAACATCTCCGGAGTCACCAGACAGCCGCCATCATCTAAACACACACAAATGAATATTCAGTAATCAGCAGAGGCGGACAAAGTACTCAACTCCATTACTTGAGTGAAAGTACAGATACTGCTGGTCAAATATCACTCCATTACAAGTAAAAGTTGTAAAGTCAGAATTTTACTTAAGTAAAAGTACAGAAGTACTTGCTTTTAAAAGTACTTAAGTACCAAAAGTAAATTTACTTTTTTATGTCAATGCACTTGATACTCAAAACGTGTACTTAAATACAATACTCAAGTAAATGTAATTACCGTATTGTCCCGAATCTAAGACGATGTTTTTTTCTTGGAAATGCATCTGAAAAAACGCGGTCGTCTTATATTCAGAGTCTAGACTTTGACATGTCAATAATACACCCACAACAATAGTTGGCACCAAATAGGACCAAACTCTCTTTGTGATTTTAAAACGTAAGACAGTACAAAGATTTGAAGACTACAGTAAGATTTAACTTCTACTGTTAATAAGATTTTGGTAGGCGACTATTAGATGGATAGCCTAAACGTCCAAATTCAGATGGGATACCTTTTTTTGTTTTTTAAATTAATGCTTTTTTAATTTAAAAAACCTACAGGGAAAAAACACCCGCATGCCTTGAAACATTGAAAAATAGCATAGAGAGAAGAACTTATTATTATTATTCTCTCGCTGTTATTATTATTTTTTTGTGGGTTTCTTGCTGTCCGCTAAGGCGTAGGACACACAGTCTGTCCTCCTCACCAACGACATTAAACACGGTGTATACACCAGACGCGAGCAGCAAAATACAGTAGAAACCATTATAACCAGTGACGCTGTCTACACTGGATGCGACGCGACAAGACAAAACCCGACATTAAACTGATGCCTTGTTCTATGTCGTACTGACACAAAGTTAAAATGATTTGCAACGGTCGCTTTGTCACGTCCAGTGTAGAGCTGTTGCGGCACGACAAGGCAACTGTAGCGTCCGGTATAGACACGGTGAGTGAAGCCGAGAGCAAGATATGCCGTGTCATATTTTCTGCATTTAGCTTTTACCAGCACCTGCCTGGGTCTGTGCGACTTTATCTATGGCTTTTCTCTTCGCTTTCACAAACCGATCCATCTCCCATTCTAAGTTACGTCCTTTCCCTGGTACCGTTTTATTTCTTTTCTTTTTCTGCTGATGGCCCGCGCCCCCCCCCCTGCAATACTCGTGCGCCCCACACTTTGAGAACCACTGGCTTAGCATAAACTCCTAATTTTACAGTCTATGCTCGTGACTCAAAAACATAAAAAAAGCTAGAAGCAAAGCAACAGCAGAAGACAGATAGATGGTTTATAATACATGGTTTGTATTATATAATAGTACTATTTGTTAATCATTTTAATTGTATTATTTGCCCATTAAAACACTTTTTAAAAAGGTATATGTGAATGTACATAAAATCATATCTTATATAAAGTAAGTTATATATACAGTGCTACAGTGCTATATATACACACACACACACTCAAAGAAATAAGCATTATATAATTATATTATTATTTACTATTACTTATCTATAATTACTATTATTTATAAGGAGTAGGCTATATTAGTAAACATTTTTAGAATTTAATCATCTTCAACACTGGAAAAAAAATTAAATTGCTAGTACACTGTGCAAATAAGAAGAAATTAAATAGTATTTTTTTATTTTGGTGTGATTAATCATGATTAATCAATTTTACAGCCCTTTTATATATATATATATATATATATATATATATATATATATATATATATATATATATAAACGCACACATGTATATATTTAAGAAATATATGTAATATATAATTAATTTATATATAATATAAATCATATATATACACAATATATATACATACACATACACACACACACAAATTCATATATAAATTATAGTTAAATAGTTATAGTATACAATACACTCTTAAAAATAAAGGTGCTTCACGATGCCATTGAAGAACCTTTTTGTCTAAATGGTTCCATACATAACCTTTAACATCTGAAGAACCTTTCTGTTTCACACAAGGTTCTTTGTGGTTACACACACACACAAATTCATATATAAATTATAGTTAAATAGTTATAGTATACAATACACTCTTAAAAATAAAGGTGCTTCACGATACCATAGAAGAACCTTTTTGTCTAAATGGTTCCATACATAACCTTTAACATCTGAAGAACCTTTCTGTTTCACACAAGGTTCTTTGTGGTGAATAAAGGTTCTTCAGATTACAAAAAGGTAAGAAAGAGATGGTTCTTTAAAGAACCTTTGACTGAATGGTTCTTTGTGGAACCAAAAATGGTTCTTCTATTGCATCGCTCTATGGAACCTTTTGAAGCACCTTTAATCTTAAGAGTGTAGACTCAGCTAAAACACTCACCTGGGTCTGAATTTATAACTGTTGCTGCACTCCCATAGGTATTGTTAGACTACAAGCGTTCTATCATATATACACCAATCCTTGCAAAAGGATGCCAGATTGTGCTTAACCTTTCTCCCTCCACTAGAGCCCAAGAGAACCCTGTGCCATTCATAACATTCCATTTGTGTGGAGGCAAATGCTGATCATTCATTCGCACAGCATCAGCACTGGATGTATTAGCAATTACCAAGGCACCACTGCGTGAGTAATTAAAATCCACCAGATAACAGCCAGAGAACTTGCTTATCGGAATGAGGTCTAGAACAAGTCCAGGACTGATTAATCGGAGGGAAACCTGGACGGTGGTAGAAATAGTTGAGATTATGTTCTTAAAATTGGGTAATAATGGCAGGATGTCTGAAGAATTTTGCACCCAAACACCAGTATAAGGAGAAAAACAACCCTGACAGACTTGGAAAGGTTGATTTGTTGTCACAAGTAGCTGTCTGGCGCTGAAGATGGGGGGCACAAGGAATCTGTCTTTATTGTTGTTTGACACATAGGGTTGGAGCTGGTTCAGAATCATGTTGCATGAGCAGTTTTGATGGGTCAGCACGGATGGGTCAGAATCACAGCCACTTTGTCCTCTGCGTTGATTTGTCTCACCGACCCATTAATCTGAATCTGGTAAAGATTGTAAGGATCGAGCATTATTGTATCTTCTTGGCTCTGACCTCTTTCATCCACCCGTTTGATGGTGACACTCTTGTCCATGTCCACTGCATTGATGATCATCAGCCTAAAAGGCAGGAATCTGACATTTGATGTCATCGTGAGGTTAAAGGACGTGGCTATCTTGGTGTAATTCAGAGAGGGAACCTGATACACCTTTCCCAGATTTTGTTCAGGCTGGACAATGTGAGACTGGAATCTCCCCTTCCATCCACTCACAGAAACCACTGTGATGTTTCTCTGTTCATTTGGTAAAAGAACATTTGACATTCAAAATCGCTTCTCTCTTCTCCCCATGTGGTTTTGCATAAGACTCCAGAAAGATTTGTGCCTTAAGATCAACAAGTTTAATATTACAGATGCGGAAATTCACCAACACCTACAGTACATTGGGCACTTTATTCACTCAAAATAATTCTGTTCCAAAACAGTCAAAGGAAAACAGCGTTACAAAAAACAACAAAATATCAGCCAGCGAACTGATAATGGTTTGTATCTACACATCACAACCTTCAATTATATTTTAACTTTTTTTCAGAATTTTACCAAATAGAAATTTCTTAATGAATATATATAACCTAAAGCTCCTTATTTCTCTAAAGTGTTCGCTGTCTTTGCTGGGAAAACATGAAATTAATTTAGAGTTTTGACTTAATTTCTCTACTACTGCTGATATGCCTAAAATCTGATAAAATAACATGTTTTTCAACTGAACTATATATCAAAAAACAACACCCAATACACCATCTGAATGCTTTCTGAGCTGTGTCATTTAAAAACACTGGCATGCGGTCTCAGCCCTTCAAGACCAAATTTGTGTATTTTCTGCACAGACATATTTGGTATTCAAAACACACAATTTCCTTTCTTTTGCATGAAATAATCTAGAGTTTAGTAGCAAAACATGACATCGGCCTATTTTCATTCTTTTGATATGAAAAACTTTGACTGGCACTTAGTCCGTGAATCAAATCTGCAAGAATATAAAACAAAGATGAAGTGAAATGCATTTGTTTACTTCAACATGCTTTGAATTGCTTCCTGAAGCAGCAACAACTCATCCAAATGGAAAAACTCCAATGTTTTTCCTTAAAATATTTCAACAGTGATTACATATGATCACCAATCTGAACAAATCTATATATTTTTAACAATTTATATCATATATATATACACTGAAAAAAAATCAGCATACATGTGTATGTATATATGCGTATATATATATATATACATATACGTATACATATATACATATACGTATACATATATACATAAACGTATACATATACGTATATACAGTGGGTACGGAAAGTATTCAGACACCCTTAAATTTTTCACTCATTGTTATATTGCAGCCATTTGCTAAAATAATTTAAGTTAATTTTTTTTCCTCATTAATGTACACACAGCACCCCATATTGACAGAAAAACAGAATTGTTGACATTTTTGCAGATTTATTAAAAAAAAAACTGAAATATCACATGGTCCTAAGTATTCAGACCCTTTGCTGTGACACTCATATATTTAACTCAGGTGCTGTCCATTTCTTCTGATCATCCTTGAGATGGTTCTACACCTTCATTTGAGTCCAGCTGTGTTTGATTATACTGATTGGACTTGATGACACCTCTAAAAAAAACTACAGAATAATTTTTTGCATTAAGATATTTTAACAAAAAACATGCTGTTGCATAAAAAAGTAGAATATCTGATTCTGGTGTCTTTGGCACAATATTTCAATGGGGAAATGTAATGCTTTTCTGAAGTCAGTTTAATTTATTTAAAGAAACAGCTAAGGATGAATCAATAACAACAGAATTTTATTTTTAGGTGAACTATAAAGGGACTTATGTATTGCCCTTTTAAACTCTCATTTTTATGACAGACATTCTCAAGACATGGCACTTCAAAGGGGAAAATACTTAATATGAACCAAGCTACAGCAGGAAGACAATCCTGATCCCAGAAATCCTGATTCAATCCTGCCCACCCCCAGCATGACCTAGAGGTTTACGTGGTTCTCCAGGTCGAACCGGGTGCTTGCGTGGACCCTTTCCTCTCCCAGCCCCTTCTGTCCTTCCAGCCCCTGTTCCTCCCCTCTTCCTTCTCTGTCCATGTTTCGGAGCTGCTGCTTCCTCTTTGAGAGCCTGAGCCCACAAGGCATCAAAAGAACCTGGAGCTTGGTAACCCGGCTGGTTCTTATCAAGTGAGTCTCTGGAAAGCAGGACCCATATACTGGGCACATTTCTGCTGACTGTGAGACTGTCCAAGCCAGCCTCGGGCTCCAGGGGCTCCCAGACCTCCTGAACCGTGCGATAGACCAGCTTGGTGTGCTGGTGTAGGCCATGTACACGGCGTTTCATGATCTCCACACATGTGATAGCTTTAGCCACGCTCTGACCCACACCCGTGAACACGATTTGGCGGCACAGATTCTCCCCCAACCCGACGCTCACCTCTGAGCCTTCATGAGGGCCTGGATGATCCGCGGGGGCTGTTTTCTCCTCCATACGGCTTAAAGCAAACCTCATCAGGTTGCGGATTTTGCTACCATCCTTCACTCGAACTTCTGGAGTGTCGCTGGGCAGGTCGGGGAACGGACACGGGCAGGGCTGCTCGACTGTGCGTGCTTTTCTGTAGTTCTCCATGTCATGTAGCCTGCACCTGTGGAAATTAAAAAAGGCTAAATTAATGACTGTGTAATATATGTAGTTTATGCAAACACATCACCCAAAAATATCTATAACTGTATCAGTAAAGATATAATTTCCTTCACCCATTACTGCGTATGTTGGTTTCAAAGACCCCATGTCAAATTAAATTGGAATAAAAAAAATTATTCTCCAAACTAAAATTCATAAATTATCATATTTTCAGTGTACTCTAAACAAGGGTGATTTTCATTAATGACAACTTGGGGTAAATTCGTGATTTAAATGTTATAAATGAATACGGTTTATTACAAAATGTGTTTGATATTTAAAACATACATTTAGTAACTCGAAAACAGCTTTAGTATTCAGAGCCGCACAAAAAATGTAACGTTACCACAAAAGTACTTTCCCTTCCTTTGCTGGAGTAGCGCTTTGGCCAGCAAGTTTAGATGGTTGCAGCGGTTTTTCTAATTACTGCTGTCTTTTGTCGGTCCATATGAATGAACTGCGGCCGCTCAGCTTCCACAATCTTTTTAATATGCTAAGTTAACTACAACCAAAACGACACAGTTTACGAAACTCAATTGTTATGCTATTGATCGCTTATCCACATGCAACAGCGCGTGACGTCAGCTGCCGGTAATGTGTTACATTCTGCCGTAAAGTGCTGCGCGTGTTCATGGGAAGTGTAGTTTTGAATTAATATTTTATTAAGTCATTTCTAAAAATCGAATAGACCTTAGAATAATTATTTTAACCAAAGCATTTACATATAACAATTATTTAAGTCATGGATTCTGCCTATTAATATACTTTTTTCTTTATTGTTTACTTATATGCAGTTATACGCAGTTATATAGGCCCTACCTATGCATATATGCAGTTTGGCATGAGGAGGATAATATATCATTAGGATAAACTCTCAGATTACCGAAAATTCATTTTGTTCTCCATTTTATTTTAGAATTTTACAATTAAAATTCATAAATCTCACGAAATCTTATCTACTAATAAACAAAGAAGATACCAAACTTAGACTTTGCATCAAATAGGTCTTAATTTATTTTTACACATTTGCTGCTCCTTTTAAAAGAGCTATTGTAACCACTGATCTATAAATACTCTATAGTTGCTTCAGATCAAGTAGTCAAGAAGAGTCATTTATAAGAACACAGCGCCACCAAGCGATCATAATCACGAACTTTTCAGAGCTCTGATGGCAGCCAGACTGAGGCTCGAAATCAATTGGTAGTTCACTGAGAACCAGTTGGGGTCTATTCATATTTTAATAGGCCTAGCCTACTCTTTTGTGATGCTGTCTGAAAAGACGACACAACATGTCAAAACTTTTGATGGAGCGACTATGCTAGTTTTAATTTTGTCAGTTTATCTGAAAATCAAAATTGTTTGCGATCTAGTCAGTCGAAAGAGTTAATTTGTCATATTGTGTGTCTCTGGAAAATAGATAGGCTAGGACTATAATATATAGTGCTTTTAGATTTTCATTTAAAGTAAAAAGATACAATTGGTCCCATGGAGTAAGATGGCTTCCAGAATTGGCACAGAAAGCCCAGAGTCATGTTGTTACTAGTTTGATTATTTTCCAGTGTAATAACCATACTTTTTGTAGTCAATATTTCTGTGAATTTAATGTACATTTAGACTACGTTTTTCATTAAAACCTATAGGCTATTAGGTAAATTAATTCAATTTGGATTCATTGTGTTGCTATTATGACGTATCTAAGATTCAAATCTGGGCATAAATATTCCTATGCCTGACTATATAGAAGTCATAAAATAAATATACCTCTCAGAGTAATCCCTTTTACTGGGATTCCTTGTTGTTTGTCATCCATTGTTCAATTTTCAAAACACAATTTTACATTCTGTAAAGATTTAGCTAAGGGCTTGTTGCCTCTTTGAATAATTTTATATTTCGTGCTGTAAACTAAATTAACAGATGTTTCTATTTATTTCCCATAATAACACATTGGATGATGCTTCATCATCCAAATCTGGTACAATTTAATGCACATTCTTCCTTAAAGGGGCATATTTAACTAGGGCTCGTTCCCCAGTTAAAAGAGTCTAATTGTGCCCCTGATCATAGCATCCTCTGAATCGCTGAAAATGGATAAACTCAACATTTGCTTCACTATTTAACCACATCTGCTGGCAACAAATAACCTGAATGTACAGTATGTCATAAGGTTGTTTTACATGCATATTTGTGAAGTAGCATTCAAACAGATTAGTGCTTTTATAAATACCCACGTCTATCCAGACTTGGTAATAAGAATTTGCATAAGAGCATGCATAATTTGTACCCATAATTTGTACTCAACACTGTCTCTAGAGAAGAATATTTTATCAAAACATAAGAATCTACAAGGGAACATAAAGGTGACAAGCAATACATTTAATTAATGTAGTTCATCAGTTTAAATCAACCCTGAGACAATGTCTGCGGAGTGGATCCATTTACACACAATGAAAAGCATATTCACAGATTTTCTTTATGGAAATTAGGTACAGTAATTAGTTACATGAAGTAGGTTATATAAATTGGGCACTACATGCTTTAATTAGAGACATGTATGCTATGTAACATTATTTCATCGGTCACTATATTCTATTTTGAGCATAAAATCAGTAGATATTACCATACTGTTAAATAGACAGTGGAAAAAAATACTTCAGGCACAAATAAGGACTGCATGCCTGCTTTTAAAAAATCATAATGCATTTCAACTCATGCTTTATATCATTTTAGTTTGTTATATACAACACTGTCTATAAAGGTGTATGTTGATTGTAATATTTTGTTCATTTTATTAATGATATACATTTTATTGTTGATGTGGCATTCATAACTCCAGGATCTACTTCCTGTTACCATTTGAGTTGATTTTAAGACAGATTTTAATTCAGGATCCAACTGTTTGAATGTTTAAAACGTCTACATACGTTCATGATATCAACGCAACTGCTTGAAATCTCAGATATGCAGGCGCTGATACAAATATGAAATAATGAACCTAAAGAATAGCATTACCAACAACAAGAACTAAACTACATTTGTTACCAAGTAATCTTGAGATGGATTGAGATATGCTGGCCTTTTGTAGCAGACAGGTTTCTTTTTATAACAACAGCGTGCACTTCGCCATTTGAAATCATTTCTAGACTGAAGGGACACTGAAGTGCATAACCCCTTCAAAAGGTCCAGTGGATGCTTGTTGTCCCAGTGAACGTAACTGACAGAGATCGGGAGATCATACTCCTCCTGCCAGTACCAGTCTGTAGTTAGTAGACTGCGGCGCAGACCGATCCAGCCATCCCCATCCTCCCTGGTCAGGCTATCAGCCATGTCTTTATGGACAGATTCAGTTACAGGACAGGCAAACTGATTTCCGTTATTCATGCAGTACTCGCGAGACTTCTTCCAAGTCAGAGGGTCCCGTCCAATCGCAAATGCTCCGGGAACCAACACACAGCCACGAAGATCTGGATGCATGAACAAATGAACAGATTTTTACCTTTTGCCTTCCACCAGCCAGGGTCGTGCACCATTGAAAACTGAATTGAGAATGTTTTTGTTTTTGATTCTAATTCAGTTCCTGAAATGGAATTGAGGACAACAGACAAACAGACAGACAGATAGACAGACAGATAGATAGATAGATAGATAGATAGATAGATAGATAGATAGATAGATAGATAGATAGATAGATAGATAGATAGATAGATAGATAGATAGATAGATAGATAGATAGATAGATATTTGATTCAAATAAGATCTTTTTACCTGGTTTTTTATTGATTGGTACAGCCGGGCCTCCAAATATTACTTTTGCAGACATATGTTCCAGCATATAAACGGCAATCCTTGATGTTGGGTGCCAGATTGTGGTCATTTTATATGGTATAGTTACAACAGTTGAAGAGTAGTTTGTGCCAGTGATTGCTGTCCAGTCAGACGCTGAGAGCAAACCTCCATGTATGCGCACATCATCTTTGCTGTCTGTTTCAGCGATCACCAAAGCCTTGCCATTTGTATCAGCAAACTGCAGCAGGTAGCAAGCAAAGAACATGTTTTCTGGGATTAGCTCCACAATGAGGCCTGGACTGAAAAGTCTGAGGGACACTCGCTCCGTAGCGTTAACCAGCTGGGATTTCTGCAGGTCTAAAAATGGCAGAAGCGTTGAGGGAGAAGCCTGTAACTGGTTACCATTGTGAAATAGCGAGGACGTGTTTCCTGATAGCATAAGTAACTTGGTCGTAGACACATTGAAGATGGAAGGCACGATAAAGCTCTGACCCCGAAACTTTGTGGGAAGAATCTGATTCATTACCATGTTACAATTACAGCTCCCAGTCTCTACACACGGGTGGGTCAATATCACAGCGACTTCTTTGCTCGATCTGACCCTCAAAATAGAACCATTGGTCTGAAGCTGGACCAGCTCGTAGGAATCGATACTGAACGTCTCTTCACGAGCACCTGATGTTGATGTTTGCTTGACTATAGTGACGCTGTTTTGACTGTCCACCGCATTGATAATGAGTAACTTGAATGAGCTGTATCTTAAGGTTGTACTGACAAGCAAAGGTAGGTTGAAAGATTGAAGATAATTTGGGTAATCCAGCAAAGGGATCAAATAATTTGTGCCAAGATTTACAGTTGGCTGGACGACATAGGACTGTTTGCTGTCTGCCCGGTGACTTATAGAAACCACTGTGATGTTTTTGTCACTGCTAATTCTGACAGATAAAATCGAGGGGCCTTGTTCGTTTACTTCAGCAGACGTTGGAAACCGAATACTCATGGTCTGCCCTGACTTTGGAATTTGTAAGACTTTCTGTGTGGTTTTGTAGACGACGTTGAATGTAGTGTTGTCATGAAGGGCCGTGACTCTTAGACGGTTGATGGTATCAGATGGATAGAAGAAACCAAGGTTCTCTGGAAAGGCAGTGATAAATTTGTCTCCATAGCCCACTACTGTAAGACCTAAAATAAAAGTGTTCACTTAACATGAGCATGAGATCAACATACACATCAGTTTGAAAATAGTTACACTGCATCCCAAATAACTTTAAAATAGCAGTTCTCAAAATCTTTCAGGTGGAACAACAAAAACGACCAAATCTGGGAGAAACCAGATCAGTAAATCATTCGTAACATTTAAATGTATTTGTTTTTATCCAAACCGCTGTCACAGAGGACAGTAAAATGTCTTGCCTTACCTTGGCGAAACATTGATGCGATCAGCAGAAAAACAAGCATGGTTATGGCTTTAACTTGCTCTGTGCTCTAGCGCTGGAAGAAATGACAAAAAACACATTGATTGCAAAATGTTTTGCCACACATTAATGTGTGTAAATGAATAGAATGTTTTCGATTACAAGCAACCATGGCCATAGCCAGCTATGAGGTCGTTGTAGTTTAGTTAACCTTTCACAAAGTCATGCTAAAACATTCATAAGAGCACTAGACAAAGTTCTTATCATACAGCAATGCTTACTAATGAAAACTCTTACAGTAATAACTATTGTTGCAAGAATAATAAACAAATAATAAATTATTCACCCCTAAACTATAGTAAAGTAATAACAAATTTTGATGCACTAAAGGTCTAATTTAGCTATGTCCATCC